ATCTTTTATATTTATACTTTTTTTTTCAAAATAGTCCTCCTGACAATGGTGGCTATAGCTAATACACTTAATTAGCAAGGATATTTTAGGAAAGACATCACATATTTATTACAAATAACTAACTTAACATCTTTCTTTAATCTCCTCAAATTAGTCAATTAGCTCTTATAATTAAAACCGGAAGTAGTATCTCAACTTCTTCTCATGAAAACTTACATAATTACCCATATCTTCTTTTTTTTAATTAGTAAAGGGTTAATCTTCGTCACCCAAAACCAAAAAAGGGGTTAATCTGACCCTGTTTCTGTATTTTCTTTATTATATCAGCATCATATCAGTACTCTGTTTCATGTACTTGTAACTGGACCTTCGTTTAATTTCTTTCATTTTCCCTCTAATAAAGAAATTAAACCAAATACAATAGTAGACTCTGCACAAGATTGCGCAGATAAAAATTATGCACTGGAGTTGGAGGCATATATACATATATATGTATGGGTGAAGAATTCTGCCCATGTCTTCGCAGTAAGTACCCGACACATGTAAGCAAGCTCATTTACGTAGAATTTGTCTTCTCACTGACAGTTTCCACATACGAAAAAAGAAAAAATTGAAAACATACAGAATATTGCTAACTCATTAATTAAGAGGTCCAAATGATATTATCCACGCACGCATCAACATCGACCGCCTCCGCCACCACAACCACCACCGTCGCCACAACTCCTCCTCCACCGCAACCGCCACCACCTCCGTACATCCCAGAAGCGGCAGCAACCGTCATGAAGGTCATGCCACCGTCGCTTCCGGTTTGATATCCGTGACGTGGCTGTCGACGACGGTGGGCACGTGGTCGATGATGAGCCTGCTTCTTGGTTTTATGGGCAGCTCGAGCCTTTGTTCCGTCTTCCTTTGTCTTGTCATCTCCGACGGAAAAACTGCACCCCATGGCTTTAAGTAATGAATTGAATGTTGGATGTGATTTGTCTCTTGTTTTGTGCGCCTTTATATATAATGAATCCGATTGACTAAAGTCTAGAGTCGTTGACCTGAACACACAATTCATGATAAATTGCCAAGAACAATGATACTAACTTCTATAGCACTCCCCCCAAATTCCTATGCAATTACACGGCAATTCTTTGGGTTTTTTTTTTTTTTTTGGGGAGGGGGTGTCAAGACACACCTATATGTTATGATGAAGCTCGCTGCTGTCTTTTTTGGCATGAATATTTAGAGTATCAATTTTAGCTGCGCTTTAGTTATAGTAGCTGTGCTTGAAATTTGAAACTATGATGCCTGAAATGTAACCTTATTGGGTTCCGTCTGAAGATTTTTTTATTTCTGAAAAACCACTTCTTTTAAATTTCAAAGACCAGAATTAAAAATAACATCAAGCTTATTTACAGCGAAATTATGAATATATTTATGAACACTTCCTCGGCTGCAAAAACAATCGATCAATTGTTTTATGCACGCATCAGCATCCGCGCGCCGCCGCAGCCTCCGCCTCCACCACTAGCTCCGTCTCCCCCTTACATCGCCGCAGCACCCATCATGAAGACCATGCCGCTGTCAGCTCTAGTTCTATTCATGTGACGTGGTTGCCGACGATGACGTGGTTGTCTTGTACACGTATGATTTTATTTATAAATCACTTCTAAAATATTTTATAAAAAATTTAAATTTTATTAATTTTTATTTAAAATTTAATATTTTTTAATTTTCCCTATTTAATATATATTATATCTCATATAAACAAAATCAATATAATAATAAATAAATAATAAAATTGTATATCTATACAAAAAAAATTTTTGTCTTATAAATATGATAAAAAAAATACTATCTCCGGTTCTAATTATAAGAGCCAGTTGATTAATTTGAGAAGATTAAGGAATTAAGTTGAGTTAGTTATTTGTCATAAATAGGTATTGTCTTTTCTAAAATATCCTTGCTAATCAAATATATTGACTAGAACTATCATTGCTAAAATGGCTACTTTAGGGAAAAAATGTATAAATATAAGAGACAAAGTGGATTAAAGTCTTATATTTAGGACCAAAATAAAAGTCAAACAGGGTCTTATATTAAGAACTGGAAGTAGTATCTTTTTTCTCTGTCTTATAAATATAAATGTATTAGGACCAGAGGAGTATCATTCAACCGGCCATTTCATACATATGAATTAGTAAAAAGGCTTGATGCTAACAAAATTTAGGAGTTAGCATTTGAAAGAAATGTGATGAGTTGACTCTCTTTTCTTTTCCCTTTTTTTGATTCCCTTGCATCTCCCGCTGGAAATGGAGGGAAACCCGTGTCCCTTTGCTCGAGGACCTCAAATTTGGAGCGTTGATAATATATAAAATTAGATAGTTTAGACTTAATATTATTTTTTTATGGCAACAAAAACTTAATATTACTCCTCCGGTCCTTATTATAAGACCCAATTTGACTTTTTATTTGGTCCTAATTATAAGACCCAATCCATTTTATCTCTTATATTTATGCATTTTTTTCAAAGATAATCCTTCTAATAATGATAGTTTTAGCCAATATACTTAATTAGCAAGGATATTTTAGGAATAACAACACTTATTTATTATAAATAATCAACTTAACTTACTTCCTTAATCTCCTCAAATAAGTCAATTGGGTCTTATAATTAGGACCGGAGGAGTATTTTATTTTTGTGTTTCTAATAGATTTATTCTGAGAGATAGTACATACATAATCTATTTTAAAATAAAAACGGCATTCTAATAATTACTTCATTGAAGACATAAATTTATTGTTTAAAAAGTATAAATTAAAAAAAACTTTAAATACATACCCGTGCAAATTACATGTAATTAAAGATTAAAAAATAAATAAAAAACTTGAAGCTCAAGTTTCTATATATATAAATATATATATATTTTCCAAAGGTCATCTCGATGGAATAAAGGTCCCGTTTGGTACGAAACATTAAAAATATGGAATTGGGATTGTAATTGTAATTGTAATTGAAAAAAATTATTAAAATAATATTTAGTATGAGTAATTACTTATTATATGGGATTAGGCAAACCCATAAAGATGGGATTGGGGAATACCACTTCCTCCCATGGTATTCTCCAATCCCACATACATGGGTTTGGGTAATTTCATATAACAAACAATCTCTTATACTAAACACTCTTTTAATAGATTTTCTCAATTGCAATCTCAATCCCAATCTCTCATTTTCAATACTTCTTACCAAACATAATCAAAGGGGAAAAAGAATGAATGCCCCGTAATTCACTTTCTCTGGTTGAATCAAGTGTTAATTAATCAATGTAGCAATGTTTGATTGGTCTGATAGCCAAAAGTGAGCAACGTCGACATTGTCACACCGGAGATAAATTACTAATGGAGAGGGGATCCACATACATGCACATCATATGGATGGGAAACGATTCCAGTTACGCATTCAAACTCTATCTAATTTCATCCATTTATTTTCTTCAATTTGCTAATCTGATCCCAATTTTATATTATTTATAAGTTAGATAAATTAATTTGAAAAAACTAATAAATTTAAGACGCAAAGTGGATTAAAATTTTATACTTCAGTTCTTAATATAAAAACTAGTTAACTAATTTAAGTATATTAAAGAAACTAGTTAAACTAGTTATTTACAATAAATATGTATTATTTTTCTTAAAATATCAATCAAGTGCATTGGTATTAGCTATAACTACAATTAGTACAAGGACTATCTTAGGAAAAAAATGAATAAACATGAGAGATAAAATGGATTGAAATCTTATATTTATGATTAAAATAAAAGTCAAATGAGCTCTTATACTAAGGATCGGAGGTAGTATCTCACAGAGTATTATTTTTTTAACATGATACTTAAAAAAAAAAAATACATCACATTTCTGAATAGAATGAGTGCTCTACAAGGATTCCAAGTGTTTTAAAACTAACAACTATTCACAGCAAAGCTTTAATCAAATCTGACTAGCAATAAAATTGTGCCGTATTATCCGTGAGTTCATTGTGATCAGATACGTAGGTCTAACAAACACCTCCACAGCCACATCCCGCATCTCCTCCGCCGCCATGAAATGGGCGGTGATGGTGGACAACAATAGCAACACCGTCTCTTGACGCCGTCTGGGGTCCATTTCCTCGGCACCACATTCCAAATAGCAGGGCAAAGATGAACAAGCAAAGAGCGACCCATACGACGATAAATGCCATTGCGTTCACTTCTATTTTAGCGCCTCTTCAATGTAAGTACCACCAATTCGAATCCCATTCCACCTCCCCCACCCCCCTCCAAAAAAAAAAAAACTCCAGTTCTATCGTCAAATCCTCTGTATATATGACACACCACCTACTTAAGGGTAGTCTATAGTTTTTCAGTTGTACATTTATATATGTATCTCAACTTCTTCTCATGAAAACTTACAGAATTATCCCATATCTTTCTTTTTTTCAAAAAAAAAAATAGTGGGTTAATCTGACTCTGTTTCTGTAATTTCTCAGTACTCTGTTTCATGCGCCTGTAACTGGACCTTCGTTCCATTTCTTTCACTTCCCCTCTAATAAAGAAACCAAATACTACCGTCAGTCCTAATTATATAAGTTAGTTGACTAATTTGAGAAAATTAAAGAAATAAACTAAATTAGTTATTTGTAATAAATAGGTATTGTCTTTCCTAAAATATCCTTACTAATTAAATTTATTAGATAGAACTATCATTATTAGAGGGATTATCTTAAAAAAATATATATAAGTATAAGAGATAAAATAATTAGGGTCTTATAATTATGACCAAATAAAAGTTAAACAAAATCTTATATTAATGAGCGGAGGTAATAAAATAGTAGACTCTGCACAAGATTGTGCAGATAAATATTAGGCATCGGAGTTGGGTGAAGAATTCTGCTCATGTCTTCGCGGTGAGTACCCGACACATGTAAGCAAGCTCATTTTTACATATAATTTGTCTTCTCACTAACATTTTTCACTCACCAAAAAAGGAAAAATTGAAAACAATTATAGAATACTACCAACTCATTAATTAAAAGGTGCAGATGTTATTATCCATGTACGCATCAACATCCACCGCCCCCGCAACCTCCTCCCCCACCGCAACCACCGCCTCCACCACAACCTCCTCCTCCGCCGCAACCGCCACCACCCCCGTACATCCCAGAAGCTGCAGCACCCGTCATGAAGATCATGCCACCGTCGCTTCCAGTTTGATACCCGTAACGTGGTTGTCGGCGACGGTGGGCACGTGGTCGCTGAGCCTGCTTCTTGGTTTTACGGGCAGCTTGAGCCTCTGTTCTCCCTTCCTTTGTCTTCCCATCTCCTACGGAAAAACCGCACCCCATGGCTTTGTGCAGTGAATTGAATGTTGGATTGGATGTGAATTGCCACCAAGTTTGTGCGCCTATATACACAATGAATCCGAGTCACCTCTGGAGTCGTTGACCTGAATACATATATTCATTACAATAAATTGCCAAGAAGAATGATACTAACTTCCGCAACACTATCCCCAAATTCCTCAGCAATTACATGACAATTCTTTTATGTATTTTCATATATGAAGTGAATTACTCAACTTCTTCTAAGTCTTTATCATTCTATTCATAAGTCACTTGTAAAAAAAAATTGTTCTTAAATGTAAGTCACTTATAAGGTAATTAATGATTTTTTTTTAATTTTGCCCCTACTAATTTAATAAATGCAGAGAGATAAAGTAAATAAGTGAAAGAAATATGTTTAATACCTTCTCTTTAATAAGGATAAATGTAAAAAATTTACAAATTTAATAAATTTATTAGTTTGTAGGTTTGAAATATAAGTGACTAATAAATCACAAAATCATGTACACAAGAAAAGAATTAGTCCCCAAAAAAATTCGTAGTATGAATGTGAAATTATGAGTTTGGTTTCCCCACTAACCCTAATTGTTAAGTTTATCCTTTTAATTAGAAAAATTATCATTTCCTGATACTCCTTACTTGGTCAAGATATAAAAAGTTCGTGATGCTCACCCAAAACCATTTCACATATGAGTGGCTCCCGCCGGCGTCATTAATAAGCAAGAAAAGCTTTTGGAAAAAATTGCTTATAAATGCCCACTTAATACATCTATTTCCTAGAAGTCCCTCAAATTTTTAATAACCCAGTTCCCTTATAAAAGTAAGATTTGAGAATTAAATTACTAAATTACCTATAATCAAATCCTCTCTTCTCCTCTCCCTCCCGATCTCCTCTCCGGCTCCAAGACGATTTCTGGCACCGACATCGGGCTTTTCTGACCAGCGGTTCCGTTGACAGGTCCTTGCCGGAAGAACCGCCGGAGTCCTTGTCAAGAGCAGCTTTGGCTTCGTAGCAGCAGCGCCGGGCTCGCGGACGCGATCTCTTCTCCGGGAGATTTCTGACCTGACGCTTCAAATTCAATCCCTAGAACAGAGAATTTTGGCCCCTAAGTACAAAGGATTATCTTCCCAAAAAAAATTGTAAATTAAAATACCTCAATAAGGAAGCAATTATCGGCACTTGAAGGTTAGTAAAGCGGCCATGACACTTGCTATCCAGATCGCTGCAAAATTAAACAGATGCCGTGGAGGCTTGAAAGTTCTTTATGTTATCTTGCGCACGTGTAATAATTATTGTTTGAATTGAAATGATTTGTTAATGTTGATATATATTTTTTTTATGTCATTTAGATATGATTCTTTTTTGGATAATTTAGTTGTGATTCGATTCATATTTATTTGTGTTTATCTCTATATTTGTTATTTTTATTATGATTTACTATTGTTTTCTCTTGGACATATTAATCTTTTCGTTTTTATCTCCAAATTTTAAATTCACAGTGAATTTTGATAATGTGAAAAAACTATGATTTTACTGAGTTTGCTGTTCATATTATCCTTTAAGATCAGATGTGTTATCAACAATAGATTTATTTTACTCGGATTTTCTCTTATCCTCGCATTTATCTGAACAAAATATCTGCTTATGATCAATCACGGTTCAATGAAATGTATATACTTGCAGATTGCTCTTGAGAAAATCATGCTTATTTGTATTATTAGATTATATATAAACTTATAAACTAGACATATTAGTTTCCAAAAAAAAAAAGATAAATATAATATTTTAAAATAATTTATTTAACTTTTTAAATATTTTTAAATTAGTTAATTGTATCTTATATTAAGAATTGGAGATAGTACTTGTTTATGTGAGATTGCACTACTAGACAAGAATATACTTTGCGCCGACTTGTAACTAGTAACAAGGAATTAGCTAGTACTATCTCTGGTCTTAATTATAAAATGTTGTTCGTAATCTATAAACAAAATCTTATAATTAGGATATGAGATAGTAATACATATCTTTCTATGTCATCTGTTTTTTCTTTAGGGCCAGTTTGTTATGGAGAATTGTTTGCAGTGAAAAGAATGGAATGAAAAATAACCACATTATCGAATATATACAAGTTTTAAATAATCAAATTACGTTTAACAAAATCGCAGTTAAAATTAGTTAAAAATAATAAATAGATATGATTTTTTTGGATAATTTAGATGTGATTTGATTCATATTTATTTGTATTTATCTCTATTTTGTTATTTTTATTATGATTTACTATTGTTTTCTCTTGTATATATATTAATCTATTCGTTTTTGTTTCCAAGTATTAAATTCGCAGTGGATTTTGATAATGTGAAAAAACTATGATTTTACTGAGTTTGTTGTTTATATTATCCTTTAAGATCACATGTGTTATCAACAATAAATTTATTTTACCCGGATTTTTTCTTATCCTCGCACTTATCTGAACAAAATATCTGCTTATGATCAGTCACGGTTCAATAAAATGTATATACGAGTACTTGCGGATTGCACTTGAGAAAACCAAATACTACTATTTTTAATATAAGATTCAGTCGACTAATTTGAAAAAAATGAAAAAAAATAAAAGTTACTTAATTCTAGCATGTATTACATGATTTTTTAAAAATATTTATGTGTATTATTAGATTATATATCAATTTATAAACTAGACATATTAGTTTGAATAAATGATAAATATAATATTTTAAAATAATTTATGTAACTTTCTTAATCTTTTTAAATTAGTTTATGGGAGGTAGTACTTATTTATGTGAGATTGTACTGCTAGACAAAAATATACTTTGCACCGACTTGTAACTAACAACAAGGAATTAGCTAGTCCTATCTCTTATTTTAATTATAAGATATTATTTATAGTCTTTAATAAATTAAAATCTTATAATTAGGACTAAAAGTAGTGATACATATCCTTCTATGCCATCTACTTTTTCTTTAGGGCCAGTTTGTTATGGAGAATTGTTTGTGGTGAAAAGGAATGGAATGAAAAACTGGCATGTTTGATATGTGTTGGAGTAGAAAATAGTTTGATGAAAAAATTCATACTCCCTCCGGTCTTATATATAAGCTTCAAATAACTAAATTATGTTTAACGAATTACCAGTTAAAATTAGTTTAAATAATAAATATGTTAGAAATATATGTTTTTCAAATTTGCTTTATTTATTAAGAGAGTAAATGAGAGAGGTACTAAATAAAAAAAATGATGAAAGAGAATATATGGGGTAATATTAATGAGAGAGAGAGGGAGTACTAAATATAGTCAATCAAGGATAAAATAGAAAAAAGGTAATAAATGCTTAGATAAACTCAAAAATAAAATTTATATTTTGGACCAAACCCTTTTCTAAAAGTGAAGTTTATATATAGGACTGGAAGGAGTATTTAATAGGATGAAAATAATGATAGAATGAGAAAAAGTGAGGAGTAAATAACTTTAAAGCCCATTGGCAAAAAAAAAAAAACTTTAATGGTCTTGATTTAAAAGTAATACTAAAATAATTAATTATTTTTATTATTAATAAAAGAGTTAAGGTGTATCCAGCACCCCGAAATATTTTTTAGGAGCGTCCAGCACCTTGAAGTATTTTTTTTTACTTTGATATTGGATGCACTAAAAAATATTTTTATGTGCTAGATGCATTTAAAAAAATATTTTGAGATGCTAGATGCATCAAAAAATACTTTACGGTGCTAGACGCACCTAAAAAAAATACTTCAAGGTGTTGGATACATCACAAAATACTTTACGGTGCTAGACGCACCTAAAAAAAATACTTCAAGGTGTTGGATACATCACAAAATACTTTAGGGTGTTGGATGCAACTGAGAAATACTTCGGGATACTGGATGCACCTTAATCTTTAATAAAAATATGAAAATATTTATTTATGAATATAGTTATTAATGAAATATACCAAAATAAGTATTAAATATTGTTTTATTTATTATTATAAATAATTGATTTTTTTGTTATTATTGATACAAAGTTTAAAATAATTATTTACAATTATATTCATGTTAATGCCCTTAATATATTTTTACTAATTTGATCTAATATCCCTCCCACAGCTTAAAAAATAAACTTAAATAGAGATAATTTCGTCTTTTTTTTTTTTGTATAACAACTTTCATCCTTTTTATTTAGGAAAATATCTTCCCATCAACGTGTGAAGGAAGTCATCTTTTTTTATCACACGGGAAAGGCTGAAGGAAGCCATCTTTTCTTTCCATGCACAATTAAAAAACAGTTTTTCACAGGAAAAATGCATTTTTCGGGCCGACAGATTGGAAAATTTGCAAGAATTACAATCTGGGTTTTAATGAGGTAGAAAATTTTAGTTAAAACTATGTGAGTAATTAATAGGGACCACCATCGAATTAATCCAACGTCCGCTATGTAAACAAGAGAAAAATAGGAGGAGACTTTTTGTTTGCCAGCGAAAAATAGAAAGAGAATAGAACAATAACAGTGCAGCTTGTCCTTCACTCCTTATCACACGAGCCCCTCTAGAATTAGTATTAAATACTTTTTTTTTCCCGTATATACTCATATTTATTGAAGGTAGTGAAAAAATAGAAATTAATGCTACTCCCAGTCCTTAATATAAGAATTTATTTACTTTTATTTTGGTCCTAAATATAATATTCTAATCTATGTTGTTTCTTATATTTATTTATTTTTGTTCAAGATAATCTTTGTAATAATAGTAGTTCTAATCAATACATTTGATTAGTGCGAATATTTTAGAAAAGACAATACATATTTAATTACAAATAATGAATTTAACTAATTTTTTTAATCTACTTAAATTAGTCAATTAGTTTTTATATTAAAAACCAGAGATAGTATGATGTTGGAATTTAATGTAATTAATAAGAATAATATTGAAAAATGAAAATCACTTAAATTTTATGACATACTTAATGTTTTTAACTAGTTTTATTGGTATGTGTAAATTAGTTAGTTAGTTTGTAAACAGTAACAAAAACATTTTCGTAAGATGGTTTACAAATAGATATATACCGAGGTGGTATCAAATTGAAATAACATATATTTTTAATTTATATTAATTATTTTAGATGAAAATAAAAATAAATAAAGATTTTACATTTAATAAAAAATTTATACCAATCATGATTAATTTTTGCTGAGAAGGTATATAAACAACGAACCTTAATGACAAAATTTTGTCTATTAATTTTCACTTCTAAAATACAATTAAATTTAGGAATAATTAATTTGTAAGTCCTTATAGTTTTAACTGATTTTGAATCAGGTCCTTATAGTTTTATTTCTTTTTATTAGGTCCTTATACTTTTACATTTTTTTAATTAGGTCCTTGTATTTATTTTTCTTTTTATGAAGTCCTTATAAGTTCATCTCATTTTTAATTAAGTTCCTGAATTTTTTACTCTTTATTTTATGAATTCTAATAATACTATTCTATAATCATAAAATAGTATATATTATTTAATATTAGTTTATAAACAATAATATTCTAAAAATAATGAATTATTACAATAATTTATTTTTTTCCAGCAAGAAAATATTGTTTGTTCTAAAAAATTTATCTGAATTAATTAATTATATTACTTATATTAATTTTATTTAATTATTAATATTTTATATTTCAGTAATCTAATTAATTAAGTTTATATTTAACTAATAAGTAAAAATTAAAACAACATGGACCTGATTAAGAATTTAGGGAAATTATAAGGACTTTATAAAAAGAAAAATAAATGCAAGGATTTAATTAAAAACATGTGAAAGAATAAGGACCTAATAAAAAGAAAAAAAACTATAAGGACCTGATTTAAAATTGATTGAAATTATAAGGACTTACAGATTAATTAACCTTTAAATTTAAGAACGAGTATAGAAGAATCCGTTTTCAACGATTCAAATAATTCCATTCGCACACGCATCAACACCCTCCACCTCCGCCGCCACCACAAGCTCCGCCGCTGCCACAGGCACCACCAGCATGGGAGATACCAAGCCCAGAATCCATCTGGACATAAACTGCAGCACACATCATGAGGATGATGTCGCCATCTCTGGCGCCACCGCCAGCACCTCCCATTCGGCCGCCGCGGGATTTATAGACGTGACGTGATTGCCAACGATGATGGTGGCGTCGCTGAGGCTTCTTAGCCTTGCGGGAAGCTAATTGATGAGCTGCATGATCTCTGGAGGATTTGCATCTCTTCATTTCATCTTTCTTTGCATTATCTGATAAGGAAAAAGTGCAGCCCATGGTGATGAACTGAAGTTGGCTGTGACTTTGTGTGCATCAGGTGTATATAATGAGCTCTAATGGACTGAATCCGCAGAAATCGCCACTTGCTACGCAGATTGTTTATGAGGCCAAACATGTGGCACAGCTTCATCCACATTATTCAACCATGAAAATCTTTATCCATATAATGCATGAGATTAATTAAATTTAAATGCACCGTTTTAAATCAGAAAAATTTAAAGAGTCTCGAGTATCCTCTGAATAATACTACATCAGCAACTTATAATTAATTTGTAGATATTGAACAAAGGGTATGTATTGACTTCTTTAAACTTTTTTTTGATTATGTGTATTGAAATTACTTCTTGATGAGAATCCTCCTTAATATGTACAATAAATAAGATGATTATAAATATGATAAATAAAATGAATTAAAATATAATATTTAGAATCAAATTATATTCAGAACAAATTAAATATGACCCATCAACTAATTCTTATTCTTCTTCCGTTCTAGAAAAAATTCTTATTCTTATTCTTGAATTATGGTTTCAGAAGTGATTTTACAGTCTACGAGGTAAATATGTAGAGAAGTTTATCCCGATTAAAAAAAAAAGCTTCTGAGACAGGATATCCAAACCACCTCTAAATATAATATAACATGGCTCTTTACATTTACGACCTGACAGGTATTAAATATGGAAGAACAAAGTTACAATGATTGCCGGCAGGCTGGTCCTCATGAAAAGTCATGGAATGACATTATCACGAGGGATTGAGGGGGATGGCCTAAGAAAAGGATTTATTCTAAAGAGATAATTAATACGCATATCCTTATAGTTTTGATTAATTTTAGATTAGGTCCTTAAGATTTTTTTTCTTTTTATTAGATCCTTTAATTTTTTGTTGTTAAATGTGCTAGTCCTTACTGTTAAACATCTACTCACACCGTTAAATATTGCCGGTAGGAATCACTCACCCACACATCTCCTCCTCTCCCTTCCCACCATAGCTGTCTGACCAAGCATTCTTCCCTCCTTGGACATACTATCCTTTACCGTCTAGCCTCTTCATCATTTACCTTGACCCCTGTTTGAAACCATCCAGCATTATCAGACAATATTTATTGTTGAATCATGTTCCAATCTAACCTCAACTCTCTGGGCTGTGTGGACATTTCAGTTTAATGAATATTAACGAAACTAACTGCTTTAGATGTGTGTAGGTATCTATGAACCAAAAGAAATCGATGTCCCTGAACCTATTCGAACTATGAACTAAATGGAGTAGTGATCTATTTGCCGCTGTTGGACCTTCGGGATTTGACTATGATATCCTAGCAGAAAGTGTGGGAGATGGAAGACTACTCTCTTCGGGAAATAATACTAATACACACAACCCGCCTTTAATTTCTAATTCTCCTCAATACAGTAATTTGAAAAGCAGTAGCTGTAGCCATGTTCAATTTGTTCCATCACTTACAGATATTTGCCTCAAAAAAGCTCTGTTTTCCTATTACTAAAACAGAGGAGACATATGCACATACAGTGCATATATACAACAATCATGTCACATGTAAGGTCCTTCTTCTATATCTCCTTTTTATTTGAGTCCTCACAATAATAATTAGATTTTATATAATTGTCACGAAATGGCAACCTGTTAGCATATTTTAGCGAATTTGATTGAGGAAATGAAGAAAAGAAGATAAGTTTGGGGTGTGAGATATAAGAGAGACAACCTCGGTCCAACTTGCTTTGGTTTTTATTATGATTCATTGATGGAAGATGCCCCTGCCGTAAGAGTTATTTCTTGTTTTCTATATTTTCTGTTTATGGAAGATGCAGTGGTCAGTGCTCCATAACCGAAATTTTTAACGGTGTTAGCATTTTTTTAACAGAAGGACTAAGGGAAATGATGGTAGAAAGTTGAAGGATCCCATAAAAAGAAAAAAAAATCTAGGGACTTAATTCAAAATCAAAGAAAATCATAAGGACCTACAAATTACTTTTCCCTATTCTAAAAAAGTAAAGAAACATTAATTTTGTGGAGACGGTGAATTTCGTTTTGTTATAATATATTCATTAATGGTAAACATTGAAGTCATGCAAGAGACAGCCCATCGGTCCCTGTTGCTTTCTCTGATCTCTTATTCTCCATAGATGATTGAGGGCCTCATATAATGCAAACGTCAAGAAATATATTTCCCTGTTTTCAGTATTTTCTTTGGCTGGGGAAAGGCCTAAAGCTCTAAGCAAAGGCATGAATTGATTGGTTATTATTATTATTAACATTCATGGCGAATGCTAGTAACAATGTAACATAACGTACAACAGTGCTCATTCTCTGTATGTATTTTGGTGTTTATTTTTTTTAAAAAAAAAATTTACTTTCTTTTTTTTTGGACTGAAAAAAATTTACTTTCTAAATTCTAACCCATCCCTCCTTCATCCATATGTTAGAGTTGAGTTGGCTGAATGAATCAATTAAAGAAAAAGGCAAGCGTGTAGCTTTATTGGTGTTATTATGCAATAAAGTACCAAAAGAAAGTGTGGGGCGTGATGGAATAAATCAAATGGGAATTTTAAACGAAATCTTTACTGAATAACAGCATGATTCCCTTTTTCTTCCAATTATCATTTGGTTTAATTTATACTCCTCTGCTCCAAATGCAGAAGCTAATTAGAAAGTTGAACGATAGATCTTAATTCACTTTATTTTCTATTCATTTCCCTCCAAATTAATTTATCTAATTTATAGACTCATATATAATCTAATGTTATACAATGATATTTTAAAGAGACCGGGTTATATTTATTAGAATTAAATAATTTGTTTAAATTTCTTAATTTATTAAAATTAGTTAATTAGTCATTAAATTAGGAATCAGAACTCAGAAGAGTACTGTTTGCTGCACTCTTGAATCACTGCTATGCGATCCTCCTTATATTTAAAATTTATTCAATGAGCTCATAACAATTAATAAAAATATCCAATCACAAGCAAAACCCTCTTCATTTTTCTTCCTCGTCCGGCTTCCGTATTGAATTTCTCATATTTCTTCAGTTGATACTTTTAGGGGGAAATGATAGATAAAGATGGCAGAATATATGATATTTCAATTTAGGAAGCTAAGAAAATGTAATCATAAAGAAGAAAGTCCTTCCTAAATTAAAATTTTGAAATTCAGTAAAATGACAAAAATACCCTTTATTATTTTTTTTCCCCTTTTGAAAAGCTCAGCCCCTCACCGGTGGTCAACGGCCGGCAACCACCGCTGACGAATGGCATCTGTAGAGTTTTTTTGTGACAGTTTTTTTTTTAATGGGAGAATATTGTAAGAAGTGGTGGAGGTAGGATTTGATCTCACAACTTTTGGCCATTTGGGCCAACAAAAAAGAAGATAAACATTGGGCCATACTTCTTAATTTTATAATGCACATAAAAATATAAGTTGACTCTTTTACTGTGACTCCAGCCTGTAACAATAATTTACCTAAGGATGACAAGTCTTAATTGCGAAATAATAAATCTATATTTGATATTAACAAAGCAACTTTTCCTGATACATAACAAGTAACATGCACATTAATTGAAAATGACTATAATTTATTTGAAAATGACACGTCTTTACTGAAAAATGACAAATCTACACTTGAGATTAACAATGTGTTTTTCCCTGATACATAACAAGAAATAACATGTATATTCTCAAATAAATTTAATTATAAATTGAAAGGGATGTTGTATTTGGGCCAAACACATGTATTAATTAACACTAAGTAATTGAATGTGAGCCCATGTTATTTCAATAAGCTCATCAGCCCATGTGCGCCTGAAGTTCTCATCACCATGCTAGCTATGCTTTGCTTCTTGATGCCATTATTCTCTTTTCCTAAAAGGTATATAGATGCACACAGTGAAGCTTCTGGTTCAGAGGCAGAAAGACAATGAAAGGGAGGAAAGAGAGAGAGAGGGGGGACAAAAATGGAGCAGTACTTGAGGTGGGCTCAGGCGTTGGCTACTGCGTGGGGTTTCATGTTGTTGGTTGGTCTCATCTGCTGTTGTCTCACCACCAAACCTCAACATGATCCCGACCTTGTCTCCGGCAACGGCGGCTGCACCTGTGACGGCGGTGGCCAGGCCTGCGTTTGATCTTCCTCATCATTTCAAACAAAACCAGATTCTGAAATCTTCCACCGACTTTCCTTTTGAGTTCGTACTGATGTTTAGGAATGAATATTGTTGGAAAACTCGTTCCAAGTAGCTCGAATAGTTCATCTCTGGGTTCGGGGCTTGCTGTATATATATATAATCTTATTGAGTTTATTGAATTCAATTTTTGCTCGTTTATTTGTGAATAATAAGCATAGATGAGTGATTATTTAGTATCAATATATTTGTATCTAGATACATAGTTTGATTCTCGATTTGAACTTTCAATACAGTTATTTTTGGTTCATCGGTGTCCTTTTATAAGGGGTTAGTTTGATCTTTTTGTTCTTTAATTTCCCATCGAAGTTTAACAAATTAAACGAGCTGGAAAATGAGTGTACTTTTGCCAAAGTTTGAGATTCTCCTTTTCAGCTTCCACTATATTTTATAACTAGTCCCAAGCTCGGATAAAGATAAAAGAAGGATTTTGTTGGGTCCTCCATAGTTAACATAAAATTCTGTTAAATTTATTTTGACATGGATCAACTTAAAACTTTTCAGTTAATAATTTATCTAAAAAATTAGTTATTTATGAAGCATAATAATATTGTGCAATTCTTGTAACCAAACATTTTTTTTAGGTAGGCTAAGAGTGGCAGGGAGAGAACGTTAGAATATTTTATAGCAAAAAAACTTTTTCCCCTACAGAGAATAATGAACTTTGCCTTTCCTCCCCCTAACTATTTTTTAGCGCCTAATCATAGTTAGCTTGACTCCCTTGTCAACGTAAAAAAAAAAAAAAAAATTGGCCAAAAAAATTGGTCACATATGCAGCACAACTGAATTTCTCTTGGCTGGAGAAATCCTACGAGATTTAGATGTTTCAATTTAGTTTAAATAATGAAAAAAATTTTACATTGAAATTCATATTATTTGAAAAAGTCTGTCAAAATAGTAAAATATAAATATTTAGATGAAACTATGAAAAAAATCAAAGGAGTTAAGGCTTTCTCTCTCTTTTTTTGGATACATTTGTTACAGTGTATCACCAGGACAGTCCCCCAATGACTAATCACCCTGGTACTGCAGAGGCCCAAAAAGAAGGCGATCCTCCCAAGCACGTTTGTTCCATTTCCATCCTCCAGCGGGATTGAACTCAGGAGCGATGGTTAAGGGACACAGACCCTCATCCATCTATGCTAGCGTGCGCTGGTTAAGGCTTTCTCTTTCAACAAGCAAGTTTGAATATAGAACTATCAAAGTCTTTCGGGTAGCTTCAAAAATCCTTGGCGTAAACGACCAGTCTCTGTCAGTTTCATTGAACTTCCATAAAGCTGTTTCTCAGATCACTTGTCATCTATAGATTATAGGAATGTGAGATTAAGATATTGTTTGGTATGAGAAAAATAGAAGGGAAGGAGAGGGAAAGGAAGATTTTAATAAACCTTGTTTAAAAAATTAAAGTGAAGTTTTGAATCACACTTATTAAAACTTTTCCTCCCTTCCCCTCCTCTCATTTTTCCTCATACCAAAACGGACCCTAGGTTTCAGAGTTCACAAGCAGCTTGAAGCACAAGTCATGTGGTGACTCTGTCTGCAGCAAAAGAAGATACAGATGCATGGGACCGGTACTGTGCCTGGGCCTTACCGGAGGCGGCGACAGTGGAGGAGACTGATGGCGCGCCAAAATTTACTAAACTGTGTGTGTGATTATTTTATACGTGATTTATCATTTATGCAATAAATATTATAAGAGGGAATAATATGGATTCCTATTAGAAAAAGAAAAAGAAACAGAAATTCATCATGTCACTCGTTTTCTAATATGATCAAAACAATCAAGAATCATAGCTCCAGGTCAGACCCTGCCCCACTACAGTGACCATGTCAAGCTAATAACATATGCATAAATGTTACAATACTTCCACTTGATATGATTGAAGATGAAAAAGATATACTTTACAAAAAAAAAAAAAAAAAAAAAAGAAGATTCTAGACACTTTACAATCTGTTTTGATCTGCAATTATTGGCAGCCTTTCCCAAACAGTTCGTTCTCAGCGAAAAGAAATGCTTCAACTGAAATGCAGCATCACCTAGGACAAATGACAGCAAAGAGGCAGGGTTTTGCGATCAGCATCTAAATTACAGAAATGTGAAGCTGGCAAATAGAAGCAAGAACGTTGCTATGTTGTTAAAATTAAGTATATAAGATGCAAAATGTTGCGCAGTTATACTCATAAACATGCCAAGGATCACGGATCTACATTCCAAACCGAGATTTGAGATGCGGGAGCTAGTCAGTATGCTCGAATCAATGAAGTAAATTTCTATTCCAAGATTGTCCTTTCTAAAAGGGATTTAAAACACAGACCACCATTCAATCACCTAAGTTTTGGAAAATCAAGAGCATATTTGTAACTATAATATAAATTGCTGTCGCCATTTTACATGCTTAACATTTGTATTACTCGTATTACATCATCTAAGAATAATAAGATAATTTACGACTTCTGAGACCAAACCTTAATAGATAATCTACATCTTAAAATACGACATACCCGTTCTATAAATTAAAAGTTGCGTTGTTTATCAGTCATTTCTATTTCTAGATGGAGTTGCACTTCATATATTCAGTACCCAAAATCAAAGCTACTAAGTCATGACTATATGCAAATGTCAAGGGAGAAAGTACTCACATGTCCAGAACACATCATTCACACTCTACAGTTCACTGTAATTGCGCCACACTGCACGAAATTCTTCACGGAATGTGTTCAGGCGTGCTTTCAAGTTAGGTGTTCTAAAGCTTGCATGCATGATGGTAGCTGAACAGAGAGAGCGATTAACCTTAAAAAAAAGAACATAAATGCTAACAGGACAGGATTAAAGATTAAAATTTCTACAAAGTAACGTACCAAGAAGACCAAAAGCAAGTGCCCATAGAACAGTTAAGAGACCGCAGGAAACAAACCATAGGAAGAAGCTTGCTGTGAAAACAAAGAGGGTTGGGGAAGAATTAGTAGAGCTAACATCAGAGAGGCAAGTAAAGAGCAAAAATTGACAACAATCTCCAAAATAAGCAATGGAAAAACGGGTATTTGTTTCAAAAACTTCAATTACCAGAAGAAAATATCAGGACAAACACCCAACGAGGTTGACCACATATATATATCGCTCTCCTAGCTGATGGACGTCCACGAATAACAGGCCTGCAATTTGATTCATTATTGTAGCCCAACAATGGATGCTTCATAGAGATGCTACAAGCAAAACACACTCACGTATGAGGAGGTCTCATCTTGGCTGCCAAATGTGGTGAAAATTGCCGAACTGTCCGTGTTACTTTCTCACTGAAGGTGGCAGCAAAGCTGAAAGAAATGACTAATTATCATGCTACTTGTTTTTGCTCATAAAGCTTGCTACTCTTTTGGAAAATCAATATAACTTATCTAAATCACAAAAATTGAAAAATAAACAATAACCCATAAGGCCCCTTTTTTTAGGGGAAAAAACATAACACCTACCCCAAACATCCAACTTTGGGAATCAGAAACCATCTAGTTTTTTAATTGCACACAAATTGAGTCTCATTCTTTAGAAGAGGATTAAAGGCCATATCTCATTAAGCAAATCATATAGTATAAAAGGCTAAGGCCAAGTACCCCAGGAAAAATAAAATCACAATTCAGGCACTACAACGTTACATGCTAGATTGTGTTCTGCTTGAAGGCAGACTCTTTGTTTCAAAATTATAAAGAATCCATATTTTCTCACGTTCCTTGATGCTGTAGATAATGTACAAGACATGTTCATTATTATTCATGTTACAGTTGTGCCTCTTCCCAGATAAAAGAATTAATTCTCTTATGGTGCATGTCAATGACCCAATGCAATACGATATTTTAAAGATAAAATTGAAACACAATGCTAGAGCGGCTGCAGACATCATTATTTGGGTGAGTTCCCCAGTGCTCTTCCAAGTGTATTCCCACAGTTTTTCTAGTGCTAAAAACCACAGAATCAAATTTAAAAAGTAAAGTAATCATTATCCAGTCTAGCTATCTCAATTAACATTTTTTATGAAACTGCACCAAAAGAACCACATCCAAGGCTGCGAGTACTAAGTAAAACAATAATGCATGCTGTTTCATAATTGGATGCTTGATCGGGTTTGGTCTTGCAAAGACCTATCTACTTCGTACATTTCCTGTTCCCATTGCATCAAGAAAGAGAAAAAGATGTTTGCATTCATTCAAGTTTCATAGACACGATATTTGTAAGAAAAGTAAAACTTTAACCAATGATGTCATTTAATATAGAAAGGGAAACTAATACATTGCGCACCTGTCATTTAGAAAAGCAAGACTTAGTGCTGTAAGAAATGCAGCTACTATAGCAATTGGCCTCCAAAGAAATCCCAATACTACAAATCAAAGTGTGAATGTTCAGACCAGAAGTCATACATCAACTGGGAAAATAAAAAAACAATATTAACCATGTTTAACTTACTGAGAACAGAAACAATCAACATGAAGTAGTTGGTCCGGTAACTGCAAATGCAAGCAAAACCATACATACTATTTATTAGACAATTGGTAAAATTATAAATTCAACTTATATATTTAGACTGTATTGAAAATACAGTAATAAAACTATCCTGAAACGGTGGGTGGGGAATGCAAAGGAAGAAGATACAGCCTAGTTTGGCTCTGGCTAGTTATTCAACTCAAAAACAGCATTTTAATCATAATAAGATATTTCGTTCCTACATCTATAAATACTAACCATACCTCACCCCAGCTAACCTAGGTGGCAAAATGAGAAGTGCCCGATATTAAAATAGGATACCCAAAAAATCAGACCATGCAGAAAACGATGCAAGCAGATATCAAGTGATCAACTCCCTGGGAAAACAATAAATCTATTTTCTAGCTCTACTAAGCTTATGTATCTCTAAATCCATTGAAAGGTAACAATCAAACTGGAATTACGAGTTTTCATTTCTTCCACGGATTCCCATCAAATTTCAAAATACTTCCTTTAAAATAGTAAAGAAAAATGAGCAAGTCAGTCAAATCAACAACGTCAAAAGAAATGTTGCACGGTCACGCCAAATTGAGGATTCCGATAATACTTCGGAAAGAGCAAAACTGCCAGTATTTCAGTAACTGGAAAGATTAATCGATTGAGAATTCAAGGATTAACCGATACTACTGTGAAGCACGGAGTTATGAAAATGGGAACATTACTAGTAGAGATTGCATTTGAGGCGGCTGTTCCATCTAGAGTAGGATTTAGGTACGGTGAATCTGGAGAAGAATTCAGAGAGAGGGCGAGGTGGCGACGACCAATCCACTTCACGAAGTGCGTCGATCAAATCTTCAGCTGTTACGTTTCCCCAATCCATCTCTGCAAAACCCTAGCCTAGCAAGAAAATCGGTTTGGAGGACGAAGGAAGATGGTACGGTGACTAAAATTTGAAGTAAAGAACAAGTTGGCGGAGAATTCCGTTAGCACCCAAGAATCGATTATAATCAAATTGATTCCAATCTGTGTAGTATTCGATGATATGGTCATGGGAAAGGAAAGGATGCCGCGTCATTTATGCCTTCGTTCTTTTTTAACTTTTTTTTGCCGCGTCATTTTTTTTGGCCTTCTTCGTTCTTATTTATGCCTTCGTTCTTAAGCAATTATTGAGATGTGACATTAGTAATTTATAATTTACTTCCTGCAGTCTTATTTATAAAATTTTATTTGTAAATTATAAATAAAATCTTATAATTTAGACGGAAAGTAGCATAATTTTGCAAAATATATGCGTTATTCATGCATATTTTCTCATTAATTTTTTTCGGTACCATAAGGAGTAAACATGCATAAGATATAGCTTAGAAATATTTTCTTAAGTGAAGGTCAACAAAAAATAAAACAATTTAAGGTAAAATTGTCAGAATATATATTTTTACAGAAAAACCTGAGTCTTTCTTTCATAATCGTCAATCATATCACTATATAATTTTTGTCTTATTTTAAGTTGTAAGTTATCCTTTGGAAAAATTGTGCTCAAGGACCGATTTTTCAAGCTAATCATTAAAAAGGATACTGAAGTTGCTATTAAGTAATTCTTTGGAATGGATATGAGATTGGGAACAAGTAGTTTAAATTATCCTTTCCCTTTGTTTATATAAAGTCTTCATGGTGAAAAAAAAATAAGAAAAAAAGAGTGCTAAGAAGAAAATAAACTCACAAGATAGCCCAACACCGATTTGATTAAATAAAGGCTGGATCCAACAAGTTACCATTTATAAGTTTTTTTGTGCTTAAAATATTATTTAAAAAAGGCATCAATATATCAATATATTCATCATATATTTACTATAAGAGCGAAATAGGTGGTGAGAAAAGATATACTTCTCTGGTCCTTAATATGAGACATATTTAATTAATTTAATTAGATTAAAGAAGTTAGGTAAGTTAGTTAATTATAAGAAATATGATATGTTTTACCCAAAACACCATAATCATCTTTCTTAATATCTTCTTCCCTTTATACTTAATTATGATTGAAGAAGATCCTTAGGGGTAATTTATGAAAAATTGACAAAAATGAAAAATATGTCTTATATTTAGGATTAAAATTAATTCAACAATTGTGTAGCCTTTTAAGGCGTTATTTTCCTCAAGCTTCGGCTTGCCTTTACATGTTAAAAAAAAAATTAATTCAACAATTAGGTCTTATATTAAAGACCGGAGAAGTGTTTTTTTAAGAGTTGCTCATAAAAACTATATTCTCTGACAGAAAGCATTAATATTTTGTCCTTAAAACCTTGGACTTAATAAGAAACTTGGAGAACAAACATTCAGCAAGATCATCCATTTTAAACAAATTTTAATTCTTTTTCCTAAATTTAGAATGTGAATTCAAGTATGAGTTCATTGATTCAACTATTGTGAAAACTATCTCTTAACCTCCGTGATTAAAATAGAAAGTCCTGGCTGTCTGGAACAGAGTACATATAACAACATTAGAAACCTGAGGGGACAAACGACAGCAATCAGGAAGGGGAGGAAGGCTGGGCACAGAGATTTGGAAGGAAGAAGGAAGAAGAAAAAATATAATTAATGGCAGAAAGCCATGATTCTTCAGCCCACCTTCCTCCTCCTTCCTCCTCCACCCAACTTGGAGGATGGAGAGCAGTCAAATACATTCTTGGTAAGGTTCAAACCCAGATTTTCATTGATCTTCACGTTGTTTTTATCATTCTAGTTTGTCATTAATATGATCCTGTCATGAATTGAATTGATGATGTTACCACATTGGAACTGAAGGGAACGAGGTTTCTGTTATTATATCGTTGATTGATATGAGTCAGTTACGTGTTGATTTTGAAATGAATTAGGGAACGAGACATTTGAGAAGTTAGCTGCGATGAGTTTGATAGCCAATCTGGTGGTGTATCTGCATACCCAATACAACTTAGACAACACATATTCTGCAGAGGTTTTCAGTATTTGGTCTGGTTTTAGCAATTTTCTCCCACTTCTTGGTGCTTACCTTGCTGATGCTCATCTGGGAAAGTACCATATGCTCTTCTTTGGCCTTATTGTGTCTTTTCTGGTAAGTCTTTTTAAAAAAAAAAAAAATTCTAAATATATTATTCTCAATTGAGCTTCTATTTTTAGTAATTGGTCAAACACTACAGCTCTTTTTCAGCAATAATTAGAGGCATGAATCCTCTCCATTCGTCTCCTAATATCAACCTCAATTTAGAAAATAATAATAAGTAAAGAATCACAAAAAAATCTGCTCATACATAGCATGAAATTAAAATCTTCTGAAGCTAGAAAGCTTTTAATTTTTTTTTTTTAATAAAAAATGAATACAAATTTTTATTCATATTTCATATATCGCTTCGACAAACTGAAACGTTTCAAACTTATAATGAAGACATGGCAATGAAAATAACAGGGCATGGCCTTAGTGTCACTGGGTGCAGGCATACCATCCTTAAGACCTCCGGCCTGCACTAACCCATCTGACTGCATTCAGCCCACGGGCCTGCAACTCTCAGTCCTTTATATTGGGCTTGGGCTTCTGGCTTTGGGCTCTGGTGGGCTTAGGCCCTGCAATATTGCCTTCGGAGCAGACCAATTTGATGTGTCCACAGAGAAAGGAAGGGCTCAACTAGAGAGCTTCTGCAACTGGTGGTACTTGTTGTTCACCGTTGCCCTCCTCGTAGCTCTCACCCTTGTCGTTTACATTCAAACCAACATAAGCTGGCTCTTAGGCTTCGCCATTCCCACCGCCTGCTTCGCGCTCTCCGCAGTACTTTTCCTTTTAGGTCGCAAAACTTACATTCGCCTGAAGCCCAGAGGCAGCGTCATTGTTGACCTAGTGAAGGTGATCGATATTTGTTTCTTATAAATTTCCATATAGTGAAGAACCTTTAGAAGTGGGATTATATATATTTACAGTAGTGATGATTTTCTTTCAGGTGATCGTAGCAGCAAGCAGAAAACGGCATGTGAATATAGGGACAGATTCTGAACTCTCCTATTATGATCCCCCGCCGTCGGACCCAAAGATGACCGTCGTTCGCACGGATAGGTTCCCGTGTTTGGATAAAGCTTCTGTGATTATGAATGCGAATGAACTGAACGACGAAGGAAAACCCAGGGATGGTTGGAGGTTGTGTAGCGTCCAGCAAGTGGAAGAACTCAAGGCCATACTAAGAACCACACCTGTTTGGGTCGCGGGAATATTCTGCTTCCTCTCTATGACACAAACAGGGTCCTTTGGAATCCTTCAAGCCATCCAAATGCACAAATCAGTGGGAAACCATCATTTTAACATACCACCTGCTTGGTTAGGCTTAGTACCCATGATTTCGCTTTCTATTTGGATTTACATTTACGAGAAAATCTTCATCCCTTGGGCTCAAAAGGCCTTAGCAGGAGGCAGAAGGTTGTCGATAGAACACAGGATATTGATCGGAATTGTTTTCTCCATCGTATGCATGGTCGTTTCAGGGACGGTAGAGGTTCAACGACGTGAGTCGGCTTTGAAACAGGGGTCGTTTGAATCACCGAGCAGCATGTGGATGCTGGTCCCGCAGTTTGCACTATCTGGGTTAACCGAAGCCTTCGCGGCCATAGCCATGATGGAGCTATTGACGACGTATTGGCCGGAGAACATGAAGGCAATAGGTGGTGCAGTGTTCTTTCTGAGCCTGTCCATAGCGAATTATTTGACGACGATTCTTATTGAAGTGATAAAAGCGACGACGTCGTTGAACGGAAGGACGCCATGGTTGGGTGGGAATGACCTGAACAAGAATAGGCTTGAGTATTATTACTACACCATTGCTGTGATTGGGGTGTTGAACCTGTTTTATTTTAGTTTCTTTGCTCGTCATTTTCTGTACAGTAAAGTGCTTCCAGTTAGGCCCAGTGTTGCTGAACAGCTAGACAGTGAAGAAAAAGGAACAAGATAATCATCCGTACGTACGTCGTTGCAGCTAAATAGGTCAGCAGGTCTACAACAATATGAAACATGTCGGTTCACTATCTTCATCCTTCATGTCTTGTTAGGGGCCAAAAAAGAAATCTTCTTTGTTTTGTTTCCTTAATGTTCTCATCTATCCTTGACGATCAGATCCTCCCATCATGAAAAGGGGAAAAAATAAAAAAGGTTTCTGCTGTCATGTTGGGATTAGTATATTAAATTACATTTTGCACTGAGACTTTTGAGTCGGTTATAGATTCTTGTCACATTTAACTAGAATTGCTAACAAACACTAACTGCTGTATAAATCATCATTAAATATGCTGGTACACTTAATTTTCAACTCACACGGCTAAAATTGGAGGCAGATAATGTTATGTATGTGTAACAAAGTATATATGGAGGGAAATTAATAAAGATAGTGTGAAAATAGTAATACTTGAGTTACGCAACAGTCAAAACTCACGCCAGTCTCGTCTGATGCATCTGACCGACTGACCCTGCCTTCGTCTCAACCCAAAGCAGCAAAATTCCAACGGCTATATTGCTTCCCGCCCATCTTTATCTTCCACTATTATATATATACATGTATATATATATACACATATGCACGGACCGTACTTGCATCATCCCCAATCCTCGGTCCCCACCCTCTTCGATCTTCTTTTCCATTCCTATCCACTCTCATTCCTTTCACCAACTTCGTTACTTCAATGGCCATCGACGTCCTTCGTCGAATCCTCCTCTGCTTCAACTCCGCCGACGCCCCAGCCGCTAACCCCACCTCCTCCGCCACACCCAAGAAACGCCTCAGCACCTCTCTCCGGGACGACATTGCAGACGACAAAATGGGCACCAGAGGAACTCATAATCAAGATCAAGATTCCAGTTCCGACTCCACCGGCACCCCCGCCACCGTCGCTTCTGCCGCACCTCCCCGTCCTTCGAAATCGATGGTCATCGGGACCATCTTCGGCAACCGCCGTGGCCACGTCTGGTTCTGCGTCCAGCACGATCGATTGTCTAGTAAGCCTATTCTGCTTCTTGAGCTTTCCATCTTCACAAACCAGCTGGTCCAAGAAATGCGGTTCGGGCTGGTCCGAATAGCTCTGGAGTGTGACAGATCCGGACTCGAATCCTGCCCGCTCCGATCAGTACCGGTTTGGACCATGTTTTGCAACGGCCGGAAACTCGGGTTCGCGGCAAAGAGGAAAACCAGCGAAAGGGTCAGGCTGATTTTGAAGACGATGCAGTGCGTGTCGGTCGGAGCCGGCGTCATACCGTCCGGTTTCAAGACGGATTCGGGATCGGAGGAGCTCATGTACATGAGAGCTAATTACGAGCACGTTGTGGGAAGTGCAGATTCCGAGTCATTTCATCTCATTAACCCGGACGAGTCACCTGGTCAAGAACTCAGCGTCTTCTTGTTGCGATCTTGAAGCTATGTTCCTCGTCGAGTTGGGGTAATTTCGGAAAAAAGATCATATTTATTTTGAAATTGGAATTTCTTGTACAGATTACAAAGCCCTTTTGTTTTTGTTGTTAAGTAGAAATTTCAATGTATCAAGGAGGGTCGAAAACTAGTTGTTTTCCTTTCTGGTTATGTTGACACGAATGGAGCTTCGAGCTCGAATTCTTTAGCTTCGATGGATTGAAACTGAAAAATCTCGATCAAGATTTTCACTTTCTTGGAAAAGGACAAACTCTGTATGCTTACCAGATCCAAGTTTCATAGAGTTCTTCGCCATTTTTAATATTTTCCTTCTGGAACTGTTCATTATGGCCATGTGACTTCTGCAGGTCAGATAAGATTTTCTGTGTAATTTCATAATATTGTATCCTCACACCTCTGTCTACACTAAAACAAACAGATCATTGAACACAACACGCTTACATGGAATCTTTGTCATTTCATTTGGGTCTCTCTCTCTCTCTCATATTCACATATATGAATTGAATAAGATCTCCCAGTAACCACAGTTCGAGTATTAAATTGTGGGTGTCCATCTCTGTGGAGACATGTTGAATATGAATCTTTGTGGCCTATCCTAAGCTATATAAGCTTTGTTTCGTAGGTATAGTGAGTAGTCCAAATCTGTGTCAGATAATTAATTCAATATTGAATGTGAAACAACCAGCTGGAATTCACAAATGAATTGAGTGCTCAATCGGGAGAAGCAGCATTATTTTCTTTAATTAATTTTGGGTGTACGAATTATCTAAAATAACTAATAATTAAAGGTAATCGCAAGAATATGGGGGCTGCTTTATTCGAATCTTACACATGTTCTAAGGGCCCTCGTATTACGTAGGCTAACCCTCATGCAATTTGGAATCAGTCATTTTCAGGAATATAAACCAAATGAAAGAGCCACATAAATTCTACTTTTTGCGCAATCTTTTGGGAGAACTCCTATAGCATTAAGCTGCGCTGCATCAGCAAATTAAGCAGCCAGAGAAAAGAGGGATTCTCTGAGCCTGTCGTTGACAAATTGTTTAAGATTTATATAGGCACTGTCTGTGGATTCTATCACCTCATTGTATTATAGTTATATACTACCTCCGGTCCTAATTATAAGAATCAGTTGATTAATTTGAGGAGATTAAGAAAGTAAGTAGAGTTAGTTATTTGTTTTAAATAGATGTTGTTTTTCCTAAAATATCATTGCTAATCAAATGTATTAACTAAAACTATAATTATTAGAAGGATTATCTTAGAAAAAATTGAGTAAATATGATAAATAAAATAGATTGAGGTTTTATATTTAATTAGGACCAAAATAAAAATCAAACAGGGTTTTATATTAAGGACCGGAGATAGTATGTTATTGGTGATGCTGGCTTGTTTGATAGTGCAGTGTGTGAATGATATATAACAGGCATTACTTAATTACATGTAAAGGTTAAGAAAAGGGATCATTTTGGCAGATGGAAATTCACAAGAATCCATGGCTCTGTGTTTGCTTGCGTAGCGAAGAATCTTTTGGGGATCCCTAGTAATAGATAATGCATTATCAGCAACAAGTTTCTGAAATTCGCACGCGCACACACATGCCCTGTGAGTGTAAGCTAGTCCATATTAACGTGTTTATGCAATAAAAATGACTGTTAAAATTGTTTCCGTACGAGTCCTTTAACTTGACTCAATTAACTATCTCTTTCAAACTCAGCCTGAACATAATTTGGCTGCATGGCATTCGGCTTCGGCCAATTCAATGGAATGATGAGACTTTGAATACATATCACAAGTTTATAATCTTTTGAGTACATGGGAACACAAGATAATGCTCTGATCCTATTTATAAAACAAAAAGAGAAATTTTTTTTTTCTATTTATAAGATATAGAGAGAAATTTTTTATATAAATGTATAATTTTACCATTTATTTATTATTATATTGATTTTATTCTCATGTGAAATAATGTATTTTAAGTACGAATAAAGTTGAAAAGTTATTAAATTTTAATACAGAGTTAACTAAGTTTAAAATTTTTCTTGATTTACATGAAATATATTGAAAATAACTTATAAATAAGATCAAAAGAATATTAAGTTACCAATTGTCTTGTAGATTAGTAGTAAAAAAATTTGTAAGTAGGGAGTTACGAATTCAAGCACATTTATAATCTCAGAGCATTAATACCTGCTCCTAAATTAAAGAAGATAAGGCAAGCTATCCAAGGCTAGGTTAGAACATAAAGTAAGCTGTACGTCCATGGCTAGGTTCAATCCCTAGATCATATCATCATTAATTATAAAAAATAAAAGATGCATCTCATGTCTAGCCAAATTCTAGGATCACTCGAAGATTGGAATTATGAAAAGTCTCCATAATAATCAAAAACTTAAGTTATATCTTGGTAATATTAACTTATCATTTTCAAAAACTACACTGGTTCTTGATTAATTCAAACCAAGTCAGATTAAAGCTCTTCCAATAAATAATTTGTCCATATATAAATTCAAGACTCTTTTGAAAAAGAACAATCATTTGAACAACGGCTCAAGCTAGTAATTAAAGTATCAAGAGTATCAAATACTGTATGTCATAAAGAAATAATCATATAATTCTTTCACTTAAAAAAATAATCATATAAATCAACAACACCTATAAAAAAATTAAAAGTAATATGTATTTATTATTGGATTGGACTAGGCTGGCACCATATCGAATGTCCAGTTCCATATAATCCATTTTGAATTTTAATTTTATTTCGGCCTGACCCAAATGGACAAAGCAAAACCAAGTTCATCAAGCCATGATGTGTTAACATTTTAATTATTTGGAAAAAAAATACACATATTTAGTATCCAACAGTATCTTAAATAAGATTGTCTCTAATAAGAAAATGCTTATGCATAGCCAAAACAATTAACTATATATCGTTATGTTATTTAATTAAAATATTGTGATGTGGCCCGTTAATGAGGTTAAGCCCGGTCAAGTTAGGATTTATGACAAGAGTAATTATTTATTAGTTAATTTTATCATAATGGAAATGAATATGCAACATATTAAAGGTTAGCGAGTGTTAGTTGGGGGTGTTTGGGCAGTTATAAACATGTCTTTCAAAAGTACTTTTTCATAAATTGAAACAAACTCCTCCACATATTTACTTTGTATACCGTAAGATCACATTTAAAACCCTAGTTTCATTTTCATCCAAATACCCCCCTTAAACCTAATTCATTCTACTCTTCTTTTCTAGGATTTCATGGCTTACACTAGTTGTTATATATGTACCATGCGGTCAATCAAAAGAGTCCCTAAGAGCTTTTTTTCCCCTCTTAACTCTTCTTCCTTATTCAGTTATTTTGAGTCGAAATGTAAGTTGCTCCGAATCATCTAAGCTACAGCGAGAAGTATTTATAATTTTATTCTTGCCCTGCAACTTTGATACGTTGTGAGAATTCGTATAGATGTGTAATATTTGAATTATATCGGCTGAATTAGTGTGTGCGTGTGTGTGTGTTTAATTGTCTTACATGATGCACACCCCTATTCGGCTATAAAATCTCTCTGTAAATATATTTTTGTTGAAACTGGTTGCATTGAAACATCTTAATATAAGGACAGATAGCTTCGTTTCCCAAAGGTAGCTAGGAACAAGAAAACCAAACAAGCATGCATAAAAGATTCCATCTGCCTAGTAACTTTGACCTCTCCCAGGTTTTTGCTTTTGAAAGCAGCGTGTGGTTCTTCTATATTTGCATTTTAAGTGCTATTGAATTTGAATGTCTTAGATCACCGATTATATTCGCCGCTAAGTTGTGGTGGACGAGTATGGCAAAGCCAAAGCATGTCACAGACGAGAATAAGGAACACAATATGATGTAATCATCGGTACAAGACAAAGCATATCATTTTTAAGTATACTTTAGAGTTTTGTGTTGTATTTACTATGAGTATATATACTGGTCTCATATCAGACAGAATATGTCCTCAGGTTTTATATATATAGAGTCGGTGTTCAACAGGAGCTGGTTTACCAATCGACTGTATTGTGATTATTCCGAAGCTCGAAAGGTTTTCAAAAGAAAGCACAAAGGATTCTCAATACCATTAGTAGCTCCAAAATATGGGACGCTGGATTAAAAAAATGAGAGACCTTGGAACAATATGCAGATTCCTTTCTTTTCCTTCCTTGCTGAACTTACTTCTAGGAACCATTTTCATAGTATCTAAGAATTTCGTATTATATATTTTCCTTGGACACCAACCAATGAATAGGGGGTGAATATGGATGGGACAAGGAAAGAAAATGGATTTTATTCAATTCTTTAAATGAGTGGAAACAACAAATCTCTCTGTAAAGGCTTGCTTTGTTCATGATGATATCAATTAATTTTAATGGATGCGATTCTGCTTTAATATAATGGAACAAGAAGGAGGTTTTCTTCTTTTACTTTAAACATCGTAAACAAGAATACATCTCTGCATTTTCACCTCTCTAGAAGAGAGGCTACAGCTACTTCTATAGTACCTCATGTCCTTAATAAAAAATTTTGTTTGACTTTTATTTTAATCCTAAATATAAGACCATAATTTATTTTATCTCTCATATTTATCTTTTTTTTTTTGCATGCTATAGTCCTTCTAATAATATTAGTTTTAGCCAATAAACCTAATTAGCGAGGATATTTTAAAAAAGACAACACTTATTTATTACAAATAATTAACTTATTTCCTTACCCTACTTAAATTAGTTAACTAGCTCTTATATTTAGGACTAAAAGTAGTATATAGTAAACAGAAACATCGTCATTTTGCTGTCCTAATAGTCGCAGGATTACACAGTTCACTGATTGAAATGATATGACGCCATTTTCACCAAGTTTATCATATAGGAAAAAGAGATGGGGAAGTTACATATGACTTCTTAAGCAAAAGCTTGATGAGGCACGTAGATCATTTGTATACATGGAATTCCGTGGTGAA